GGGGGGCCCCCAAAATCACTTTTTTTTTTTTTCCCCTCTTTCCGGAAAAGTGGGGGGTTTTTCACCCCCCACCCCCAGGGGAAAAAGGAACGCACATAGACCCGGTTTCCCCGTTTCCTTTCCTGAAATACTTGGTTGGCCCGTTCCCCCCCCCCCCCCCCCTTTGGTTCGTCACCTTCCACTTGTCCCTAGCCAACTGAACAAAACCGCACAATTGGACGGAGCGCCGTTCTGAAGGACAACCAGCGAAGCAAAGAAAAGTATGCATACATGGTACGATGCCCGCAGAAATACACCAACCGGCGGTGGGTGGTATGGGTGGCGAAAAAGAAAAACCACGTCGCCCCCGCCCTCCTCGTCATCTCTCTCAGAGATGCACGATCAAACAGGGCCAACACTTACATGCCACACACGGTTCCATCCCTAACCATTCGACCTATCGCCCCCTTTCTCCTCCGTTAAAAGAAAAACAGGAGGTTGTATCTCCGACCATCAACAGCGCCCGCGCCGTACTCCCCAGGCGGCGACAGTTCTCTTTACAAAACAATATATCACGAGAAGCCAAAAAAAAAACTCCGTGTTTGTGGTCCGCATATGTAGTATACTTTTACGCACTGCGAAAAGAAAACACAACAGCGTGTGCTAGTTGCTAGCAGCACCGTGTCGGCCAAGCGGGAAAAAATTCCCGCCCAATTCCGCCTTGAGGAACAGCAGATTTGGTGGTGGTTTTTCCACGCTTGCGAAACAGCAGTACTGCAGCACAACGGGAATTCACACGATACCCAAGCTCTTGCGACAACGCTACTACTAGATTAGCACGGATGCTGTCACACAATACAACCACGATATGTGTGACAATGCTACTTCCAGTGTTGCTGCAAATACAGGCGCATCAGGGGCGAACCACTGCCGGCAGCGGCGGCAAAACGAGCTGCTTAGATTGACTCCAAACGAGCTGCTAGATTGACTCCACACCTTTCCATGTCCGGAGTATTCTGATCCTGTTCAGTCCCCCCCCCCCTTCGCAGAAAATTCAAATTCGCCTTGCATGTCCAGAAAAAAATAATAATGTACATTGGACAAAGCAAATCGCGTGAGTGGCCACACGGCACCAGAAATATCTATGCTGCGAAGCAGTGTGAACCAACTTCGTCCTATCCTGAAACTGCGCATCCCGAAAAAAAATCCTCAAGATTCTCGGTCCATGCTTGCGTGAAACAGACCCAAAACCTGACGAGAACGAGCCGAATAGTTTATTTTTCCATGCAAAACGGAACGCCGCAGGTATCCACACGCCGCCGGCGGCTGCTCCTCGCTCGCTGCCTACTGCTAAAACTATCTGCTGCTTCCTCTACAACCCATCGACCGGGGCGGTAGCCTTGCAGGAGATAGTCACGGGCAGGTGCTGACAAACCCCAAAACCAAAACTACGGAGCGATCCTCGACGGCACTCTACATATATACATACATACATCCACCCCAGTTGGCGCTTCAGCTGCTCCTGGTCCAAGCCCAGGGCCACGGCTTGCGGGTCTTGCCGTTGGCGCCGGTTCCGGCTCCGCTCCCCACTACCTCCGCCTTGTCGATCATCTCGAACCCGAGGTTGTCAGCCGCTTCCGCACGCCCGCTGTCACCGACAGCAGAAGCTCCGGCGCCGCCGCAGCCGCCGTCTTCTACCTCCGTCACCGCCGTAGCGGCGGCAGCGGCAGCAGCGGGGGCGTTTGTAACGATCCCCAGGTCGGCCTTAAGGTCAACCCCGGGCTCGAGCTCCAAGTCGGTCGCCAGGTCTAGGCTCTCGCTGAGGGGCTCTTCGCCCCCCCCCCCCCGCGCGAAAACCCCTCCCT